AAGTTCAGTATTAATATTGTTACAATAATTTTAATCAATATTATAACATATTTCAGACTTTTTTTCCTTTAAAATAAGAGACAGATATTTATGAGGTTATAAATTTAATATTAAGAATAAATTGATCATTTTAAAATTAAATTGTTACTTTAATAAAAATATGCCATTCTTTTAGACTTGATTAAAAAGAAAAGGAAATTATATTATATTATAAACTGAGATAAAAAAGGAAAGTGGTATAAATTATTGTATTCCAATTTAATTTGTAATATTTCTAACTCCTTTTGGTGGGGAACAGAGGCGGATTTAGGATTTGAAGGTCGGGGGTGCCATAACGTTCAAGTAAGATAAAAGGACTGATTGCTTTAATTTTGGGTTACAATTCATGTTATTAATTTTTTTTTTATAAACAAATCGATCAAATGTGCATATAGTAATACTTTTTTTTTTAGATATTATGTGATTAGAGATAACTAAACAATTTAATTTTTATTTTCTTTTGGGAATTAGATGTCTTATTCGCTGAAACATTGAGAAAAAAATTTACATTAAAATTTGAGCTTGTATAAACCAGCTAATAATATTTAAATAATATATTCATCTTTCATTGACTTTATGTGTTGTTGGAGATATATAGTTGGAAAAGAATAAACATTGTAGTTTCAGCCTATGCATCTTACTTAGCAAAAACGTCGATGAAGATCGAAAGAACCTTTAAATTAAAAAAAAACACATTTTGAAACTTATGTTTTGTAAAAGCTACTATTTAAAGTAATATTCATTTGACGCTCATAATTCAGTACTTACTAATTGATTAAAAAAATTAATATGTTATACCAATATCAATAGATTAATAATTAGTGCAAGAGAAAGTAATAAAAATTAATTATGAAAAGGGGTCAATTTGAATTACTAATGAGTAGTAAATAACTAAAAATGAATGGAGAAAAAAAAAGAAAAAGAAAAATGGAGCAAGCAAAAAAAAATAGATGTTGCCACTGTGGTTTCAACCTGCATTAACAAGGTGGCGGATTCTCACCTTCGCCAATTGGACTATTTCGCAGTACAATCACTTGGTGGCAAAAGTAATACATATTTAATTATTATGCATATATATATATGTGTGTGTGTATACAACTTTTTTTTCGAGATCATTGGGTGTCGTGATACTCCCACCCACAAAGTAGATCCCCCCTAGTGGGGAACCAATGGAAAAATTAGAAGTATCTATCACCAAGATATTCATGATTGAATAATATTTAACTTAAACGTATACTTAGTAGATTTTTGGGGAAATATTCGATTGACACCTTGAGCTTATGGGATTATTATATGGAACGAGGTAGAAAAGGAAAAAAATTCACTTGCACTCAATGATAATATCGAATCATATAAACTTTGTTTCTATTTATTTGCTTATTTTATTTATTTATTACATAAATTAAGAAAATAATTATTGATAAAATGAATTTAGTATTGTTATCCTTATTATCGGATGATATTCCAAAATCAATGTACTCGTTAAAAAAGTTTTTCCTTTTTCAAAAACATTAACTCCCTAGAGTAAATAATAGGTAAAAGATCATTTTTTTAATTTATAAAAAATAACAAGTAAAAAGGTAAAATTTATTAAGTAAAAAGAGATAGAAAGAGTATTAGCTTATAATGATAATATACTGATATATTAAAGTAAAAATATTTTATTCATTTATTTTAGTTAGAGGTAAATCTAAAATATGACTTACTCTTAAGCGGTGTCACTACTGACTTGGGCCTATCGATTCGAAATGGGCAACTTTCACATATAGCAACCAAAAAATTTATATTTGTATGCTAGAGCAAAGTTTGCATAATTGCGCTCCATAGCAAACATAAAACTGTATAATTCGCTATACATATACAATTGTATAATTCGCTGGCCTAAATTGTATAATTCGCTGGCCTATTTTGCTGCAATTGTATAATTCGCTATCCTATTTCACTGCAATTATATAATGCACAATTGTATAATTTGCTGCCTATTTCGCTGCAATATTTTTATAAAATTTGCTTTGCATACAATTGAATCGAATTAAAATGTATGTATATTGCATAATTATAAGTGTGTAGTAAGAAGATATATGTTTTTCTCTCGCTTTATACAAAAACAGAAACACAATATATACACTTCTGTTGTATAAAGCTAGAGAAAATTGTATTTTACTGCAATTGTATAATTCGTTGGTCTTTTTCTCTGCAATATTTGTATAAAATTTGCATTTGTCTACAATTGAATTGAAGTAAAATGTTTGTAAATTGTATAATTAAGTGTATAACACGAAGATATATTTTTTTGCATGTGTATATACAATTTTCTCTCGCTTTATACAAAACAGAAACATAATTTATACACTTCTGTGTATAAAGCGAGAGAGGTGAGCAGAGGGAGAGTGGTGAGCGAGAATGGGAGAGTGGCAAGCGAGATTTTTGGGAGAGAGACGCTTGACAAACTTTGGCTAACGTTTGCTATGAAGCACAATTAAATCAAACCATAGCTACTCCATTTATTTTAGGTTATTAGTTTGCTATTGTATACAATTTTCCCATTCTAAATGGGTAGACTTACAAATATAGCGACTGTTACACCTTAAATGGGACTTTATAGTTATAATTTGCTTAATTATGAATAATAATAAAATGTTATAAGAAGAGAGTGTATAGTTTTTTGCAAATTAAAAGAATATAATACAATTGATTTGTAACAAAATGAATACATATAAGAGGAGAGAAGCGAGCGAGATCAAGAGAGGGAGGAGGAAGAGAGAGGAGATCGAGATCGAGAGAGGGAGGAGAGAGGTGAACGAGATCAAGAGAGACAAGCGAGATCGAGCAAGAGAGGATTATATTTTGTATTTATTTTGTGTTGTATTCTGTATTTATTTTGTATTAATTGTAGTCAAAATACAAAAAAATGTATTTCTATTTATTATGCATTGTATTTTGTATCAATTGTATTCTAAATACACAAATTCATGATATTCATCCTCTGTTTGATTGGGATGATGAATGCATATTATATTCATATGAATACAAATACAACTGAACATACAAAAATATAAAATATATTTTTTTGAATACAAATCAAAATAAAATAAAAAAATCTCAGCGATATTTGAATGAATACAATTGATACACAAAAAATTTGAATGTATTTTTTATTGACAGGAGAGAAAAACAAAGAGACAGGGTGAGAGATGATACATACTTGGAAATAAGCAGATCATAGATATAAGTCTTTTCATGTCCGAACTCTCCCTCGGATCGTTCAAAAATCATTATAGTCTTTCTATGGAGACTATTGGAAACGAAAATGTGCCTCGGATTAAAAACAACGAAAAAAATTGCTATTTATCTATTGCCATGCTGACAATGTATTGGTAATGATTGTTTTATAATTGGAAAGTCGTTCCACGCTCTCTATCCCCTTTTTAGGGTCCCCATGAACCGTTTTTAGTACTCAGGGTGAGAGAGGGGATAGTGCAAGAGAGGGAGGAGAGACAAGGGAAAGAGAATAGAGGGGGGGGGGGGGGGGAGAGAAGAGAGGTCAGGAGGGAGGAGAGGGCAGGAGAGAGGGGGAGTGTTTGCTATAAAATAACAATGTACTTTTTTTAATAGTGTTTCGAAAGTATTATTTTTCATAAATAAGTTGTTAATTTTGACTAATTTGATAATTTTCTTTTCTAAAATAGGCAAAAACTTTCAAAAATGATTATAGTTTGAGCTTTGTTAGAAATCTATAGTTATAACCTGCTTAATTATGAATTATAACAATATATTGGGAAAGGAGAAAAGAGAATAAGACTTGGAAAGGGAGGAGAAAGGCAAGAGCCCAATTAAATGTTTGTTGTATTTGTCGTATCAAGTTGTATCACAAATATAATTGATATATTTGATTTGAACAAAACACAACTCTATTCATTTAAGAATAGAATAATACATCGAATATAATTGTATCAATTATATGCCAAAGTGAACATTTCTGTCAAGAATTACACTAGACCTGGAACTAATCTCAACATCTACAAGAGATTCAAAGAGAATACAACGTTTAAAATTAAATAGACACAACTTGCACCCTGAAGGAAGAGATGTAGAAGTCGTCACAAATCAACTTTGTCTGCACCTAAGAAGTATTGATCCCATAATCAGATTATACCAAGTGGCATAGCAAAAATTATATTAATACAAGCAACATGTACTAATAATATTATAGTCTAAATCCACCACATAATGTTATGTAAATGGTATGAAAAGGTAGAGAAACTAGGTATGAATATAAAAAAGTACACAAGCTTATTAAAAAATAGAGTAAACCAATGTGCTGATGACATTGTTAGTGTTTGTTCAACAACAATTATTTATATATTTATTATCATCAAAGAATCGTTGTGAAGTGATAAGTACCCTTCAACAGAATCAACTTTGTTAGAAAAGATTTTACCTCAGCAAGGAACTTCCTAACACAAATTTTAATCTTGCATGGTGATGGAAAAAAAATGTCCCTAAAAACAGAGAACGAGTAAAGGGTTGGTTTAGGGATATCCATTAAACATATATAAATACATGAGGAAAACTAAGTGAAGAAAAAATTGGAGAAGTGGACTAAGTCTGAAAGCATTTCAATGTACACATGATGCAAATAAACAAGCAATTACTTCAAATCTAGTATCTAACATATTGCTAGTTTTTTCATACTTGGAACAACAAATTTTCATTAACATACAACCACAAGGAAGGTAAAAGGGGCTCACACCATGTTCAAGAAAGGTCCCAACCACAACCACTAGAACCTATTGTACACAGTCTTACCTTACATTATTTCTGCAAGAGGTTGTTTCCAAGAATCTATTATACGTAGTCTTATATTACATTCCTTAACATGTAAAAATAACTTTACCCGTTACTCCAAGACTCTTTCACAACTACAAGAAGAACAATATGTAAATAGAGAGTTTGTGTGGTGGGGGTGACAGATAGAGAGTAAGCACACATAGTTTCAAGCATATATATATATAAACATCATGCAAGAAAACACCATGTGTGCTCACTCTCTTCTATCACCACCATTTATTACCCTTTTAAAACTTAATTTTTGATTCAAACTGATTGATCCATCTCCATAAGCCTTTTTTAAGAAAGAACCCTAGCCAGATGTGGCTATTGTTTCAATAGAAAAGAAACAAATGCTTTATGTTAGGATTTGATGTGTGAGGAATGATAGAGAGTCTTACGGCCTTTAAATAGGTAAAAAAATAAGAACCATTCACTTCCATCACGGAACGAATAAATATGCATCTATATATACTACTAGCATCATTAAGTAATTATTCACTATATTATTGTAAAATATTTAATAATATTTATCTATCTTATTAAATTATTAGATAATTTTATACTCCTTAATTTTTAGTTTATCTTTATCATTAATCATAGTCATTTGCTTATTTTATATTTTTAAGATATTATATTATTATATTCAAAAAATAATATAATAAATTATTCTTTTATTGGTAGTTTCTTAAGAATCTATAAATAAAAATGTGGACAAGTATTATTGAACGGGAGGAGTATTTATTTCTATCCCAAGTATAGTTATGTTGGAAAACTTCCCACGTTGTAAACTTGAAATAGGAGATTAACAATATGTTTGGATCATTGTTATTTATTGTATTGTATTGTTACTATACCTACAATATTTGTTTAGATTGTATGTATTATGCTGTATTGTTAAATTGTGTTGTTACGTAACAATGGAAATCCCTATTTATGGAACAACCAATTTGGTGTGTTCCCATTGTTACTTAATTTCTTTTTTCAATTATATCTTTACATAATATTTTAAATACTATTTTACCATTTACCTTAATTATTTAAATCTAGTTAAACCTCTTACCCTAGAATAATTAAGGATATTTAAGTAAATTTATAAATTATAATACAGTACGATACAATCAAACCAAACAATTAAAATGTTCCTAAACAATAACAAACAATACAATCTAGTCAAACATTGTATCTACCATACAATACAGTACAATACAACACAATACAATACAATACATTATGAAACAATAGATAACAATGATCCAAACAAAGTGTAAGTAAACAGACTTTCAATGTGAAAGTTGAAGAAGTATTTTTTTTTGAGAAAAAATGAAATTTAAAAATTAGAGTAGTGCTACCATAGGAATACATAATTAGAATTGTTTTCAAATTTTTATGAGTCGTATAAAATGCAAATGTTAAATTTGAAAATTAAAATTGTGCTTTCATAGAGATGTTTTTAGATTTTTATGAGTTACTCCACATAAAATGTAAAAGAGAAAACAACTTTTTGAAGGTGAATATCCGAAATTTTGTGGCCATTGTCTTTTTAATAATAGATTTTTATTTTTAGCTGGGAGATCTTTTTTTTTTAAAAAAAAAGATTGCAATTTAATTTGTAAAGGATAAAAAATATTTTATCCCCTCTCAATTTCTCTTTAATATCAAACATATTCTCTAAAAAAAATTCTATTTCTATGTATTTATAGATAGTTATTTAAATTTAGGGAAAATTTACAAGTACCCTCTTAATCTATGTCTGAAATTTCAGAGACATTTTTATACTATACTAAGGTCCTATTACCCTCAGAATTTATTTTATAAGTAATTTTCTATCCGTTTTTGACCTACATGATACTAGCTTAAAAAAAGTCAATCATTGGTTGGACCCACAAGATAGTGCCACGTAGGCCGAAAGGGATAGAAAATTATTAACAAAATAAGTTCAGGGATAATAGAACCTTAGTATAGTATAAGTGTGTTTCTGAGATTTCGGACATAGATTGAAGGATACTTATATATTATCTCTTAAATTTATTATCATCGCAAGTAGAATAATTTTTTTAAATAAATTTATTGCAAAATCTTGGACTACCTTTAAGTATATATGCATGTATATTTAAAAATTAAAAATAAACAAAAGGTAAACATTGATAATGTAAAAGTGAAACAAATATTTTAAAAAGTTAATGAAAAGAAAAAGAGAACATCTTCTATAATACAAAAAGTTAAAGAAGATATTAATTTTTAAAATGAAGAGATAACTATTTTCATAAAGAGAGAGAGAGAGAGAGGCGATAAATGTTTTCCCTTCCCAAGAAACTCTTAACTAACTTAGCAGAGACCTTAAATTCAAAGTACTCTTGTCGATGTTCTTGTAATTCTAAAATAGAACTTTTTCAAAGTGTATTTTGTTTCTCCATTTTTTCTCAAAGAATGTGTTTTAAGGGAGAGACAGTGTCTTTATTTTCTGCTATATTTTCATTATTATTTGTTATGTTGATTTTTTAAAAATTAATTTGATCAATTTGATATTTTAACAAATAAATTTAAATATTTTAAAATTATATTAAAAGTATTATGAATTATAATTTTTTTTTCTAATGAAAAGGTATCATAAAATATTAGTCAAAGCTTTTATGATTTAATTTTAAAAAAGAAAATTATGACAATTAAAAATGGACGGACGTAGTATTTTGTTTTTCTTCTTTTGAACATGAATCTTATTGGGCTAGTATGAAAAAATGAGGTCCCTCATTCATGACAAGAGGATTACATGCACAAGCAGTGCCTTTTGAAGTGCAGTGACAAATGTAATGTCAATTGTAAGGATTACACTTATAATGTGTATTTAACATGGCTTTGTTTAACATTTAAATGGGTTGTTACATTCTCGTATGATTTGAAAGAAAGAAGCTAGATACAGTATAATCGAGATCAAATATGTGTTGTTTGAATTTCTTTATATTTTTAATTAATAATATAATTTATCTTATCGTATTTGCATTATATATATATATATATATATATATATATATATATATATATATATATATATATATATATATAGAAGGACATGATTTCTTTATTTGCTGATTTAGCCATGACCAACATAGTCATTTTCTTCAATGGATTTATAAAATTAATTAATTTTTGTCATGTAAAATGGGACAAAAGAAGTAGCATATACTCTCCCTGTCCAATATTATTAGTCTACTTTGAGGGATAATTGTTCACTTATTGCCTATTCAAATCAATTATAGTCATTTATTTACGAACAAATCAACCCTCATATTTATTTATTTAAGGATTAATATTACATCTTTTATATCTATTTTTTATTACTATTTTTAAATTTTTTAATTAAGACTAGTTTTAATCAATTATATTTTATAAATGAATTTGTAGAATGTTAATATATGAAAGAGAGAGAAAATTGTGAGAATAATTAAACTCTTAAATTTATCACACGCCAAACCCACCCCAACTCTGACATACTCATGTTTCTCTATGGTTACTCTTTCTCTTTCAATTTTTTCATTGTTTTTCTTCTCCATTCAAACAAAAATTGCCACATACTACCAAGAAATCAAATTTTTTGGTTCGCATACAAACATGTCGTATTGAGGAGCACGATAAAAGAGTTGATTAGTAGGTATTGAGGAGAATGATGAGAATATTGAAAAAAAGTTTATTAGTAGGCATTTGAGGAGTATGATCGACAAGAGTATTGCTAAGAATTGATTAGTATCTAGTTAAGCCATACTTAGCTAGTTATTATTGCGGGATACTGGAGGTACTTTCCTTGTACCAGTTGGATCTATGGATGAATTCGATTCAATTGTTCCCCCTGACCTATTGTAATTGTGATAGATCTAAAAAGTATGGTTAGACAAAAAGATTTTGTAATTTTTGATGAGCCTGAATGACAATTAGATCACTCTACAACTCATATTTTTATGATGAGTATTATATTTCACCTACTATTATCAATGTTATGTTATGATAATCACGATCAAATCCAAAGGGAGTTGTATGGAGATCACTACATCTCAGGGTTATTTTCTGATAGATCTAGAGGAAATGGTTCTGGAAGTTGAGGCTACCAAAGTCGAACAAATGTAAAACCTTATACCACAGAGGGGTGAATATTGTATTCTGATCACTGTGAAATGAAGAGTCACCGTAAGGTTGATTGCATTAAGTTAAACCTACTACTTATTTGTGTGTTACATTTTTCAAGACATTATATTTATTATATTCAACAGGCAACATAGTAAAATTATCCTTCTATTTATAATTTTTTAACAAGTGTATAAAATCAATAGTGGACAACTATGTTGGATAGATGGAGATTATTGATTTTGAAAACTACGTAGAAAGTATCGTAGTCTCATTGATTTACAATATTTGATTGACTCTTGTGCTACATATACCCAGACAAGAAAGTGACATGTACTGTTTATATATTTTATAAAAATGCTATAAATTATAATAATAGCAACTTAAAATATTTAAAAATCATATTAAACTCTTTGACCCTCTAAATTTTATCTATATCACATGAAGCGAAATAAAAAAAAAACAAATATTTAATCCATACTACCATAGGCACTTGTGTTAGGCTTCATTTTGCACTTAATAGAGGTCTGAATTTCAATCATTCAGATTCAACTATTAAGTACGTTTGACTTTTAGATCTAAATCTGAATAATTCAGATTCAACTTATTAAGTTCATTTGTTTTATTTTTAAAAAAAATCTCTTAATGGGTCTAAAAGATCTGAATGAATCAGATCTGTAGGAGACTTTTTACAACCTCATTTAATAAGTTATCAAATAATAACATCTGCTTTAAGCATATTTTTTTTTATCTTATAACTAAAAATTTTCTTTCTCTCTATTCTCAATCAAACACCATTTTTTCCCTCTTGAACTGGTAAGTTTTCATAAATCCTTTCAATTTCTTTTATATTACTAATTTTTGTATTGATTGTGTCAAGAACACTGTTGGTGTATTGGTGTTTATTAAAGTTTCTGAATGAAAAAATTATACTCCATATCATGATTATTAAAACATTTAAAACTTTTTTTTTATATCAAAAGTGATATATTTTGTTGAAATGAAATGTTTATGGTATTTTATTAATTTAATGTTAATTACACATGCACATTCAGATATTGAAAACAAATAATATTAATTATTTAGTGTTCAGATTTAGAGACGACATCTTAATATTCAG